GATGTGGTGAGGGACTTGGCGGCAGCGGTGGTGGTGGAGAGGGTGGTGGAGAGGGTGTTGGAGGAGGGGATGGCGGCGTCGGCGATGGCGGCGAGGGACTTGCCGGCAGCGGTGGGGGTGGAGATGGTGGTGGAGAAGGTGATGGAGGAGGGGACGGCGGCGTCGGCGATGGTGGCGAAGGACTTGGCGGCAGCGATGGGGGAGGAGATGGTGGTGGAGAAGGTGATGGAGGAGGGGATGGCGGCGTCGGCGATGGTGGTGAGGGACTTGGCGGCAGCGATGGGGGTGGAGGTGGTGGGGGTGAAGGTAATGGAGGAGGGGATGGCGGCGTCGGGGAAGGCGGCGAGGGACTTGGCGGCAGCGATGGGGGTGGAGGTGACGTTGCAAGGCTGCTAGGAGTAGTTGATTCAGTTATTACCGTGGGCGGTCGCGGTGGTGGTGTGGATGGTGTCGGTTGTGGATAAGTTGGAGGGTTGATGAAAAGCCGAAGAACATCCGACTCAGACGCAATCCACTCCAAGAGCACATGTTCAACATGCTGATCGAAGAAAGATTCCTGATCACCCGCCCGCTGTGGCGGAGGTGATATGATTCTTGGAGGATGTGGGTATCTAATCGGGGATGGCGGTGGCCCGTTATTACTCTCTTCAAGCCATCTCCGACTTTCGGTAAGCGTTGCTTCAACATGCAGATCATCCAACGGTTCGGTATGAAGCATCTGCTGCTCTGCAAATCGCCGTAGTGTTTGTAGGTCGGTATGTAAATCCACCAAAGCTGCTGTGATAAGAGACGCCAAGGTGGTGAAGTTGGCTACTGCCAGCCCACAATTATCTTTAAGGAGCTCCGCCTCTATGTCGGCCAGTTTGCCAGCAGGGTTAGTCATAGCGTTGGCAACTGCAGCAGCCACGGACTCCTGCTGATTGGTGATGTCGGCAGACATGTAAGGCCAGCTGGCTGATGGCACTAAGGGATTGTTGTCATCGTCTTCGTGGACTTGCTGCATGTCCCTGATGGCGATCTTGTTGCCGAGGACCAAATACTCGACGGTAGCTTTGAGACAGCGGAGGAGCGTCTGCTCACAGACCTGCGTGCAGATAAGTACGGCGGGGACCCCTGGACGACGAAAATGGATATACATACGCACATACATACTGCAGGCGGCTGGCTGAGGATAAGGCCTGACTTCTACTCCCGGAATGTCAGAGTTCAAATCCGCCTGCCTACCATCCGGCTGTTTGAGAGATGTTGAAATGGAAGGTTGTCCCCCATCTTGTGGTCGACATAGAACGTGATAATATCAACTTGCTAGCTGACCAGGAACTAAGTTGAGGCGCCGGTGATCCTCTACATTTGGTTGGATGCTGGTGGTGAGTTGCCGAACCCAACGAATACATTCTGAAATCGGATGGGGTGAACGGATTAGGGTGCCCCTCTCGCAGGGGAGAGCAGGGAACTGCCTCCAAGGGAAAGGGGGCCACTGGTGAAGCTAAACCACCCTGTAGCAACATACATACATACATGCCGGTGGTGGATGCTGAAACACTGAGCGATCCACTGAGTTCACAGAAGTAGGCTAGGGTGATTGGATGAGGGTGCCCCGAAATACTGGGGAGGGCATGATGTCGCCGGGTAGCGGCCACGGGTGAAGATATGATCCCCTTGTTCCACTCACATCGTGAATCCAAAACCTGTCCACTAACCTCACGCACACCAGCCGTGAAATAGATGATGGAGTTCAAAAAATTTGATAGTATATATAAAGCTATATAATGTTATGTATTTATATCAGTGGTACGTGTTGCAGCGAGCCCCAGACCCCAGGGGTAGGCAGGGTACTATCGTCCGGCCACAACGGATGTGTTGTTGATGAGCTAGCTAACAAATTAATTAAGTTATCGTCCCTTTTTCGCCACCACTTTTTTTGATGGATGTTACTGTCTTGTAGTAATGTCTAGATGGATGGATCTATTGTTAATGCTTCCAATCGTACTTCCTCTCAGGTTCGCGCACTTGAGACGTGCCATCCGCAAGCTGCGGTCCCGAATAAAACTTCTGATCAGCATATATACGTAGATGTCGGTATATATAAATGCAACAAAATTAATAAACAGCTGGCAAACAGACAGCAGATGCAATGGATTGATTACTGACCTGGTAATCCAATTTGTTTCTTGACGAGATGGAGAGCAGCATTGCGGACACTGCATACAATTCCTCAGCTACTGGCGATGTTGAGCGCTCGGGCTGCGAAACATAGTACGACAACATGCTGGGCTCCAGATAAGGCAACATAGAGTCGGCCCAACCTGCGACACCACGAAATTATGCCGGCGGATGTATATGTATGTACGTATGCATGTATGTACCAGCAAGGGGGGAATCGATGCACGTCCCTCGCTTGCTCGGCTTGCATCAGCAGTAGCCCCTTACGTACCTGACTCCTGATATGTAAGAATTTACTTCCGGCGATCGTTAGGAACGGATGCTGTATGTGCCGCTGTGAATAAAAGCTGTTATTTGTATATAAATGTACATATACAACCGTCTGTAAGAAAATTTGTATCGTCTAAAGATCGTCGTGCCTGCCAAATGTATACTAATAAGGACGGCGGTCGGTCATCATCTGGTACTTATACTGGATACTGCATCGTCGGTAAAACATTTGGTCGCCTAGCTACAGCTAGCTAGGTATAGGCCACATCCTCGTACAATAGATAGGCGACCAAACATTCTACAGATGATGACCGACCGCCGTCCCTAAATTACTATACACTTGGCAGGCACGTCGATCTCTAGACGATACAAATTTTCTTACAGAGAGTTGTTCGACTGGTGGCGAGGTATCGCCCCACCTAACCTACATTTTGCATAAGGTACGTATGAGCTAGGGATAGGTACGTATCTATAGATAGCGCTAGGCAATCGCACCTTGCCACACCTATGCTATCTTAGCACGCAAGGGGCGCTCCACCTTGCTCGTTTGAAGATAATAACTACTATTTATATTATCTCCCGCCCCGCCTCATATCGCTCCTCCATCTCTTAATTGGAGAACTTTTCAGGCTCAGGCCTATTTCAATAATAATAATTGGGGGTCCCTTTCCTAGCGGTTTGACTGTCTAATTGCCTTTAGTTGTCCCATCTGGGTGAATGTCTAATTTGTATATTAGTCTCTAGTGCAGTGCACGGCCAGCTGGCACGATGGCTCTACTCTTCGTGAGTCTGGAGCCCACTGTAACAACCACACACACACACACATGCGGCCCCACGCCGGTAAATGTTTTATGGTCGTTTAAAGACAGGATCATTTTGTAACAGATAGGACCAAGAGGTAGCTTGTATGTAGATTCAGCATTGTATAGAATGGCCACTGTATAGGATGTGGGTGGTTGAGAACCTGGTAACATGCATGCGTCGCCATAATAGCCGGCGGCACCGAACGCACCTTCTGCCGCACGTGAAATGGGATCTATCGCGGCGGTGAGGAGGCGAGCAACAGATGAAAACTCTCCAGCGGCAGCAGCTTGCTGTTGTAGTGAGTGGCGCAGCACGTCACCCTCTGATGCTGCATTTGCAAAGCTGCTGGCGGCCAACCCAGCTGCGAGAAGCTGTGGCGCGTGGCTGGTCCTGCTGCTGCTGCTGCTGCTGCTGCTGCTGCTGCTGCTGCTGCTGCTGCTGCTCTTCATAACTGCGTCAGTAAACGAACGAATATTTACAATTGTGCATCACGTCGGTGAGCGGCGGGCCTGCCTTTCATCCAGTCGGGCTGCCTTACTTGTTGCCTTAGGGTGTATTTCCAGTGCGGATTAAGGCCAGGGATTAACCCTCTGTCCTCCATCGATACTTGCTCAAACGGCTAAGGTGTTGGCAAACTTATCTCGCCTTTTCAGCCTTTGGTTCCCTTATGGAACAAAACTATGTGGTAAGCTCGTACCAAGGACTTCCGTGCCCTAATCCCTGGCCTTAATCCGCACTGGAAATGCACCCTTAGGGAACGAGCAAATGTCAAATTCTAAGTGAGACACACCTGCCAAGGGCGCACCATCACTTGGACGAATGCCAACGACCGTTTTGCTGCTGCAGATATATCCAAGGAACAGCAGGAAGAGAAGGCAGGACTGGCACCCTTGATGCTGCCAGTTAAGAAGCCCATAAGTCGTCATTCCGTCGTTAGGATGGAATTGGTCACGGACCTCGAATAAAAAGATGTATTATTCATGCAGCATTTTTGTTTTTCTTCCGGGAAGTTAAATGAGTGCTTCCACTCTCTAGCGAATGCCCAGCTGTTGCTTGCGAGCGGAATATCGTATATCACGACGGAGCCTGCTGAATTTCGACGCCTTGCAACTTGCAGTTCTGCAATTCCTACGGCGCTGCTGCTAATGCACGCCGTTGGCATCAATACTCCTGCCTCTATATTGTCATTAGTAAATGTTTTCGCTACGTCCCAGATATAACTAGGTCCCGCCGCCCGCCTTCCTACGTACGGAAGGCGAAATATACAACAATGCTTGCGTATGTACATCCTTGATAACTATTCTGAATAATTAACCTAAGATACCTGCGGGGCCAGTTTTCAAATGATGGGAGCTCTTAGCTGCTTATAGCAGGCGCCAAGCGAACCGCCGACCTAAGAGAAAGCGACGATACGTCAAGATAACGGGAAATCGTCAGGGTGCACGATGGCTGCTCGTAAAGCCCACTTACATTCATAACATAACATAACATGTATGAATTGATTCAACCAGCTGGTTCATAGTCGACGCTTTGCGATTATGTGATTTTCCGGGCTTGTGCGTGCCTTACCAAGCCACGAGCGAGCCAGCAGCATTAGTAACATACAATAACCCATGCTGGTTGAAACAAGTTTTAATGACAATTGATGCATGATGATGTAAACAGAGTTACGACCAACACGTGAGCATAGCCAGCAGCAGAACACAGCAGCCGGAGTCCGACCGACTTCCGACCGAGTCGGTCCGGCATATGTCTGGATGTGTATATGATGAGCAAACGCACGGCTGATTACTTTATGCAGGGATAATGTAGATATAAACCCAACATTTACTTACAATACAAGATCAACACTGTCGCCAGGCTGGCTGCGGGTGGTGTTATGGGATAGGACTAATGGTACGTCCTTAACCAAGACGTTGAAATGCTGCAGTTACTCTTCGTGAGTGTGTAACAACAACTGTAACAACGACACAGTTACTGGACCAGCTGCAGAGAGCATGCATGACCGACCGTACCGCGGTGCATGTACAGCCTTGGTGACTGGAAATCGTTTGCCCGTACTTTTATCCAGCATCAGCTCCTTGTTTGCTTGCGAAGGATAATTAGAAGGATAATATTACTGAATTGCACAGAGTACAGAGCCTGGATCGGTTGACTTTTATTTAACCGGAAAGGTTCCGTTACGAATAAATAATGACGACCCACTGCAGTTAATGCGTCTTGCTGTGATGTATGCTTCGCTCTATGCGACAGCAAAAGCATAATGTATTGCACATTAAATTATTCTACAATATCTTTGCGAACAATTTGATCCTCGCCTGCCTCTTACTTATTGCATGGTCGATAGCCTCGCTGCAGCGACCAGGACAGCCGTCCTGGTACGCCAGCTGCTGTAGCAGGGAAATGCCAGCCTGCCTTCGTAGGCTTTGCGTGAAAAGTCCAGCATGCAGCAGCGGCACAGAGATGCATGTGGGGAAGCTCTCGTTGGATCTCGAGCGAAAAGTCTCGTATTTCGATTCTCTGTTTGCTTTTATTACAAGTCACGCTTGTGCATACTGCGCGCAATTGATGCGCGCAATATTAAACAGGCCTCCACCACCATTAAAAAGGTGCATTCAGGTGCGCGCGTGAGTAAAAAGGATTCACTTATTGTCTCTATCTACTTTGTAATAGAGTTCGCGATAGAGTTTGTAATAGAAGTTGTCATAGAGGTTGTCATAGAGTCAACAAATTCCACTAAAGGAGACATTACTGTTTAGGACTGAATGGATCTGATCCGTCGGTTGTTACAGACTAACCAAAATATTGATATTATTGATAAGAGCGAGCGTATGAGTACAAATGGAGTGTTATAGGGTAGGATACGTCTGGAAGGTGGACGAGCGATTTATTTCCGAATTAATTGAGCTCGTCCATCGACATTTAAATCGTCACCGATTTGCTCGCTATTGACCATTCCAAACATTGTTGCTCCTTCTGTTTGTTTGCTAACCAGCTCCATCCGCCTACTATCTAGCTTCAAAAGCTTGAAGAGCCCCCTCAACCTTGACAGTAATTAGGCTTAGTCTACAGTAGAGGATTTGAAACTGATTGCTCAGATATGTCAGCATATCCATAATTTTTGTTTGGTGGAATAATAAACGGATGCAGCATACTGCGGTAGAAGATTGCTATTTACTGCGGACAGACATGCGGGGGGCAGGATCCTGTTGTATAAGGGGCCCACGCCGAGAGCGCTTCACAAGACATGGAAACGGCTGTATCGCCGGCGGCTGGTGACCGGTTCCTCAACATCTCCCTCTGGGGAGGAGGAAGGTGAGGCAGACGCAGCAGCAGAAACCAGCAGGGGCATCCGCTTTACCTGGCGAGGGCTCGAAAGGCGGCGCCACACACGCACGCCTTGCGCCTGCACGGCACTGCGGACGGCGGGCGATGCGGTGCAGATCGGCTGAGAGGCGGTGAATTACCCACCACCACCCACCCCCATGGGCCCGCGTGGGACCAGTGGGTACAAAACCCACCTGGCGGCCCGCGACCCCGCGACCACCCTCTGTTCGATCCAGCGCCTGCTTGCGGACATCAGCCCAGCATGGCGAGTAGCGGCAGCAGAGGTCCTGGACCACCTGGGCCATCTGGAGCGTGCAGCTGGACCCCGAGGACTGCGAGGGCGTGGTAAGTGTGCGACTGGTGGGCCGTGGCGGCTGGCGGCTGGCGGCTGACGGCTGGCGGCTGGCTCGCAGCAGATGAAACTGCGCGACCTCACGGTCAACCTCGCCACACACCTACAGCTACAGCTACACCTACAGCTACAGCTACAGCTACAGCTACACCTACAGCTACAGCTACAGCTACAGGCGGTCACGGCGCGCCGGGCAGCTGCCTACATGCACAGCATACGAGCAGGAACCGACGCAGCAGCCAGCTACAGCAGCCAGCTACAGCAGCCAGCTACAGCAGCCATAGCCGCAGCAAAGCGGGGCGGCAGCAGTCCCCATGCAGCCCGCAGATTGCTGTGCATGCCGGGAACGGAACACTGTGAGACGGCTGTGGGCGGTCAACAGTGGGGGGCGCAGGAGCACAAGGAAAACTCCCTGGCGCTGGGCTGTTCATACACACCAGTGAATGGTATCCACATCAATAGGACCCAACGGGGGTCCGGCTGACACCGTTCCCCTGCCTGGCAACACGGGGTATCTACCCGGCCCCCCAGTGGAGCTCTGTGGCTGTTGTGGCTGCGGCGGATTCGGAGGGGCGGCAGGGCAAAAGGGCAGAGGCGCTGCAATGCTCCCCGCGTAAAATAGTCGTGGCTCTGGATATATAAAGACATATAAAGACATGTATATATGGACTCCGGACCTAACCCCTCACCCACACCGTACGGCTATAACTTTATGTGCCCCCGGAACCTCTGCCGTAAACAAGCAAACGCTTAAAAATCTACCAATCTGAATCTGTATTCCAGATAGCACCAGATGGGACCGTCAGCTATCCGTTATTATTAAAGGTTACTGCGGTTAGGTAAGGGGGTCCATCAGCAGTTATTAAGTGAAGTGAAATGAAGAGATCTATCTGCAATCATCAAACCAAAAAAGCCCAGCGCGGTTGTGCACCATACTGTAGCCCCCAGGTGGCCACCAACACAAAAACAAAAAAGAAAAACATGTTGCATGTTGCCCCAGCAGCAACAGCAGTAGCACCCGCGACTCCTCTCGCTCCCTAAACCCACAGCAGCAGAACAGCAATATGTACGACATCAAGTATAAGGCAACTGGCTCCTACTACTGCACAGTATGTACAGTGTACAGCAGGTAACCGATTGAAAAGCCAACTGTCAACGGGACAGGAGACGATCTCGTACTATCCCCGTACCTTTCTCGTACGGGTACAGCATTCAGTGTACAGCAGCGGCATATAAAGTACGAACACATGATGCAGCCAGGTTTCCAGTCGTATACAGGCATATGTCATCAAGGCAGGACGCCAACCCTTCTCTTTTATACCTCATACACAACAAACTAAACAAATATCCATTTCGTTGCTTTCCTTCCTTCCCCCCTCCCCGGCCCGCAAGACGCAGAAATACAGACTCTTATATCACCCGTTCAGCTCCCTACCTCCCCCGGCAAACACACATACATACATACGCACATACATACGCACATATATAAACATATGCGCACATGCACACCCATCACCTACTTAACCCCTTGCCCCTGCCCCACCCCCTCCAGCTGGTCATCCAGTTCTGAGTACAACGCCCTCAGCCTCTCCAATTGCTCCCGGGACGGGGTCCACATTCCCCGGCCAGCAGCTTCCAACATGCGCCGTACGACATTGGCAAATGCCTATTTTAGCGGCGACATGGAAAAGATATGCGAGGTTAGGGAAGAGTGCGAGGTTCAACAACGGACACGTACATACAACGAACGAAAACACATACAACCACACGTACGAAACGTACATATAAAACGAGCACACAGACATACAAACAAGCATGCATACATGCATACGAAAGAACACTACTAACTGCGTACGAACAAAAGCCATACAAATGAACATGTACGTGCGTACGTATGTATATCGCATGGACGATGCATTTGGCGAACGTATGGAAGCGCGTACGGACGACGGTATGAACATTACTACAAACTTACCCGAACACGCTTTAAGACGAATGCATACACATACATGCATACATACATATAATATTACCATGCACGCAAACATCAACAAACACACATGCATACATACAAACATACAAACATACATGCATACATGCGTACTCTACCTGTGGGTTGTTTTTCCTGAGCGTCTCCGCCATTTCCTGATCCTCCACATACGTCTCCGCCGCCTGGCCCCACACCCACCCCTCTTGGAAGTCCGCTGTGGCGCCCCACCCAACCAGAGCCGTCATGCGGCTGGAAATCTCGTACGCCCCTCCACTGCCCTGAGCCGCCATCGCCGTGGCCCATCTGGGGAGAGTTGGGGGCCGGGGGGGGGGGTTTAGGGGTTGGGGTGTGGAGGGGAGGGGAGGTTGAAGTGGGTTCAGGGTTTTGGGGCGTGTAACGGTTACATTGATGATTTTGGATTAAGATGGGGTAGGGTGGCTGCGGCGGGCCCCAGCACGGGAAATTGAGGAAAAGGGCGGGAGAGCGGGGGGAGAGGGAGCGGGAACGGGGGAGGGAGGTTTTGAAACCCCGGGATTGGGAGAGGGCAAGTAGATTTGAAAATACACACACGCAGATCGGCACGCACCAACTGCCGGGACAGTGCCCAGGCAAGCAAGCAAGCAGGCATGTACAGTCGCGGTAAAGACACGCCGCCCGGGACAAACACACCAAAACTCACTCCAACATGTGTCCTAATCAGGCAAATCACTCCAGCACACAAGAGATGTTGTCGTACGGTACGACACTCATATCACGTGAGCAACGTTTTATCTACGTGCTAAAGCAACAACACACTTCCAAGCAGCATCTAAAGGGGCGCTTAATCTTCAGGGCAGCTGTTATCGCTTCACCCAGCTCCCCGTCCCCTCTCAACCACTTCCCCCTCCTCTCCCTCACACACACCAACGGGCAAACTCATACTCATCTTGCCTCGAATGAGGCACATACGCACACGTACCCACACGTACTTTGGATTAAGCAGCTTGGAACGGTACTCCAGACGCAATACCTCCTCCAGTTCGCGGGGAGGGGGAATCGAACCCGCGCCGCCACTACCACCACCTCCCGCGCCCGTGCCTCCAAACGCCTCCACAATGGAACACCCAACTCGGCCGCCCTTGCCTTGGGCTCCCCCGGCAGCCCCCTTCCGAGCCACCTCCGCAGCCCGCTTCAAGGCGCCCGTGTTGGCGTAATACTCCTATACAGGCATACAGACATACAGGCATACAGACAGATATCCGGAAAGACCCACAGGGACATGGGGGGCAAGTCCATACATAGGAGTCTGAAAAACAAAGCACATAAAAGTAAAGGCAGCAAAGGCAAAGGGCACATGTAGTTATTCACTCTTGTCGTTTTGTCAAGTATGAAAAAATTATCTACTCTGGTGCAACAACAAGGTCGCTTAGCTCGTGTGAATGTGCACGCCCACATCTGGGCACGTCACACCGTCAGAGAATGCATACAGCAGAAGGCGGACAGTGCGAGTGCAGGATTGCGGTGCAGCTTAACTCAGCAAACAATCAGTTTGGTTGCCGGATCGATGTTGCCTGTCCGTTTACCCGACTTTGTTTGTCTGTCTGTCTGTCTGTCTGTCTGTCTGTCTGTCCGTCTGTCCGTCCGTCTGTCTGTCCGTCCGTCCGTCCGTCCGTCTGTCTGTCTGTCCGTCCGTCCGTCCGTCCGTCCGTCCGTCCGTCCGTCCGTCCGTCCGTCCGTCCGTCCGTCCGTCCGTCCGTCCGTCCGTCCGTCCGTCCGTCCGTCCGTCCGCCCGTCCGTCCGTCCGTCCGTCCGTCCGTCCGTCCGTCCGTCCGTCCGTCCGTCCGTCCGTCCGTCCGTCCGTCCGTCCGTCCGTCCGTCCGTCTGTCTGTCTGTCTGTCTGTCTGTCTGTCTGTCTGTCTGTCTGTCTGTCTGTCTGTCTGTCTGTCTGTCTGTCTGTCTGTCTGTCTGTCTGTCTGTCTGTCTGTCTGTAAAACTTTGGGTTTGTGTGCTGTCCCCGGGCCCCCACCCCGCCCTTCTGCACGTCGAGGCGACCGCCCCGCGGGGGCCCTCCTGCCAACTACCATGCATATGAACGGAGGTACGGCAGCCGTATACCTGGATGTCAGTCAGGCCGTACTCGACACTGTCAATCTGCTGTACGACGCGGTCTGTCGTACTGAGCAGCGCTTGAAGTACCTGCGGGTCCATATGCGGTAATCAGGGGGTGACAAGGAGCCGGAACTAAAACACACACACGTTTCTCGCGCGCACGCCCGCGTGCACATTCACACTTCCTGACATACAAACATGTAAACACATGTACACACACAGCATGCTTGTGCAGACCTGTTCTTCATTCAAATAACTTTTAATAACGTACCCCAATGTCCTGTCCCAACTACCCAACCACCAGTCATAACCGCCAGGACAAGTAGTTGCTGAGATCCCACAACCGCAACCAAACCTAAAACCCTAACCCCCCCAAAAAAGGACATACATACAAACTCCCCCCCCGGCCCCAAAGCCCTATCACCAACCCACACACCTCAGGTCGCGCGGTTCCCCGCTCCTTGCCCCGGCCGTAGCTGAAGGCGTTCCGGGAGGCCCACGTGTCCGCTAGCTCGTCACCGCTCGTCCAACTACCGGCCCGGGGGGGGAAGGGGGAAGCGCGGGGAATGGATCCAGTGTATGTATTGTGTACGGAGTTAGAATATTCAGGAGAAGAGACGGGGGACGAGGAAAGGGGCGGGGAAGGAGTAGGTGTTTTTGCTGTGTCATCAATCCCGTTAGCTCGCTGGTTCTTTTTTGGAGTACGGCATGTACTGCTGCCTCGTACTTACCTTCCGGCTCCTACCCGTTCGTTGACCATGGAGCCGTAGTCCCCCGCGGGGTTGGAGAAGAGGCGCGCTGAGGTCGCGGACAGGCCCTGACCAATAGGTTGTAGTAGTAGTACATGGTACATAGCGATATCATGAATGGTGTATGAGAGATGGGGGTTCGGGGGGGGGGGAGCGGAAGATTGCACAGGGTGCATGCGCGTGCTCGTGCGCGTGCATTTTTGTGTGTGTGCGTGTGTTTCGGGGGGGGGGGGACGGGACTGCATGAAACGCTCACAGCAAGCATGACAAGCAGGCGCGATCTTCAATGTTCGGAGGCCCAAATCCACCATCCATAATATTGCCGATTCCCCCCGCGGTGGGCGTTATCCGCCACCACCCGGATCCGCCGTGGGACCAGCAGTGGTAGTGTGGGACCCGAGGGCATCTCCCCCACCGCCCACCCGGGCAGTTTACCAGGGGGGGCCCGTCTGAGATACGGCGTGTAATACACACACACATACACACACACGCACATACACACACATACACACACACGCACACACGCACACGCGCACACACGCGCACACACGCGCACACACGCGCACACACGCGCACACACATACACACACACGCACACACGCACACGCGCACACACGCGCACACACGCGCACACACGCGCACACACGCGCACACACGCGCACACACGCGCACACACGCGCACACACGCGCACACACGCGCACACACGCGCACACACGCGCACACACGCGCACACACGGACACACACGGACACACACGCGCACACACGCACACACACGCACACACACGCACACACA